ACTCTCTCTCTCTCTTTATATATAATATATATATATATATATATATATATATATATATATATATATATATATATATATATATATATATATATATATATATATATATATATATATATATATATATATATATATATATATATATATATATATACTTTAACTGTGTTGCGGTTAAAGACCTTATGAAGCGGGTTGGTAGAAGGGAAATGTTTATCGATCAACTGTAGGAAATTTCGACCGACGTTGGAAATTTCGACCCAACTCCTACAGTTGATTGATAAACATTTCCCTTCTACCAACCCGCTTCATAAGGTCTTTAACCGCAACACAGTTAAAGTTAGCCACACCTGCATGGAGAATGTCAAAACCATTATATCCCGACATAACCATCGCCTGTTAAAGAGAAACCCTACACAAAAACCTCTCCAATGCAACTGCCAAAAACCAGATGAATGCCCACTAGATGGAAAGTGCAAAGTAGACAGCATCGTCTATAAAGCCATTGTGACAACAACTGACGACGGAAATACTAAGGAGTATATTGGAATGACGGCCAACCCATTCAAAGAAAGATACGCCAACCACAAAACGTCGTTCAACCTCTACAACCACTCGTCTGATACAAAGCTTTCCAAGTATGTTTGGAGTCTGAAGCGGAGTGGAAGAAATTACAACATCAAGTGGTCTATCCTGAAAAGAGCTGCTGCGTACACGCCTGGTGGAAAGCGATGTGGCCTCTGTTTGGAAGAAAAGTTATGCATCTTGAAAGCGAAAGGGAACACATCACTGAACACGCGATCAGAGTTTTATGCAAAGTGCTGCCATAGGGAAAAATTTAGCGCGTGCAAATTCAAACCGATGACGCAAGACAAGCCTCCGCGTCAGCGACCGACCGTTGATGCTGACGAATCAAACATACACTGAATTAATATTTTTCTGTGCTGGTGTTGTGTACTCAGGTGAATAATATGTTTGCGATGTTACTCTGAGTGCAAATCCACACCGGGCGAGCTCGAAAAATATGCCCGGCCACGGTGGGATTCGAACCTACGACCTTTGGAATACTAGCCCAATGCTCTTCCAACTGAGCTGCGCGGTCAGGACGGTTCGAGTAAGTGATATTTCGGAACAGTATCTAGTTCCTTCGGTACCAATGTGTTCTAGTAATATGAATATTTTTCTGTGCTGGTGTTGTGTACTCAGGTGAATAATATGTTTGCGATGTTACTCTGAGTGCATATCCACACCGGGCAAGCTTGAAAAATATGCCCGGCCACGGTGGGATTCGAACCTACGGCTTTTGGAATACTAGCCCAATGCTCTTCCAACTGAGCTACGCGGTCAGGACGGTTCGAGTAAGTGATATTTCGGAACAGTATCTAGTTCCTTCAATACCAATGTGTTCTAGTAATATGAATATTTTTCTGTGCTGGTGTTGTGTACTCAGGTGAATAATATGTTTGCGATGTTACTTACTCTGAGTGCATATCCACACCGGGCGAGCTCGAAAAATCAATAATATCACGGTGGGATATTATTCACCTGAGTACACAACACCAGCACAGAAAAATATTCATATTACTAGAACACATTGGTATTGAAGGAACT